TGGCCAACCTGATGGTCTTCTACAAGGATCTGAATGAGAGACGCATCACTGAGAACCCAGCAAACAATGTGAGTGACCTCCTGGCTTCGGGGCGACCGGGGGGGGGGCAAGCAAAGATGGGGCCAGTTGCTCTTCTGGACTACAACTCCCACCAGCCAGGCTGGGGGAGGAATTCCTCCCTGGGCGTCCAGGTGCTCTGCCTGGCCTGCCGAGCGCTTTTGGGGTGGGGGAAAGGACAGGATTGGTGGGGAGTCCATGGAGGGCTCCCCACCTTGGGCTGATGCAGCCTTCCTTCCTTCCTGCTTGCTCCCCCCCCCCACACACACACAGGTGGTCACCCTCCTGTCCAACTTTGGGGGCCAGCTGGGCCTCTGGATGAGCTGCTCCGTGGTCTGCGTCATTGAGATCGTGGAGGTCTTCTTCATTGACACGCTGAGCATCATCCTGCGCCGCTGGTGGCAGAAGGCCAAGAAGTGGTGGAGGGCCCGGAAGGGGGGCTCGGGCGAGGCGGCGGCAGCACACCCTCCCGGCGGCGCCCGAGAGGCCGAGGGCCACGACAACCTGGCCTGCGTCCCCGAGGACGAGGACGACCTGCCCACCTTCAACACGGCCATGCGGCTGCCGGTCCCCCCGGGCCTCCCGCCCCCCAGGACTCCCCCACCCAACTACAGTGCGCTGCAGCTGGCCGGCTCCTTTTCGGGGCAGCTGGGCGACACCCTGGAGGTCAGGACCCCGTGAGGTCCTCCTTGACATGTGGGGGTGTGTGGAAAGGGGGACTGCTTCGTGGGATGCTGTGGGGCTGGCCCTGCTGTCCTCTGAGCAGGGGGACTGGAGCCCCTTCTTCAGAGGACCTGGAACGTCTTGATAGGATCCAGGATCCCGTCTCTTTGGGTGGGCTGATGGGAGGAAGCGCTGCGCACAGCGCGAAGCCGCCAGGCCTCTCCTCTTGGGAGGAAGAGGTGCTCAGCTCACGACGACCCTGAACCCCAGCCAGAAGCAGCCCACTCTCGGGGAGGGCCAGCAGGGGACCCCCATCCGCCTCTCCTCACCGGGCCCAAAGTGGGCGACCTCCAGCAGAGGGGGCGAGAAGGGCCTCCAGGCTGGGTTTTCAGGGCTAACTCGATGGCGTGGCAGGATTGGGACCTGTGGAGGGCAGCGCCGTGACTCTGCACTGATTCCGAGTGAAAAACGTGGACTTTGATGATCTTGCCTCTGCCTCATCTGCCTTTTCCCTTCTATCCAAGGAACCGGGGGGGGCAACCCTTAGGGTGGAGAAGGACCTCTGGGCCTGGATCCAGGGGCTGCTGGTGGTGGGAAAGGGGCTCAACCCCAGGTGTCAAGGGATGGGCAGGGCTCTTCCCCTGGAAGAGAAAGATCTGCACTGGAAGAAAGGAGTGGCCTTCGTCCGTCTCTGCTTTGGCCAAAATCGGGGAAACGCAGGAAGGTTCGGGCGAGGGCTCTTCGCCGGCTTTGCAAGGGAGCTGATCCTCTCTGGCTGGAGGTGCAGAGGGGAGGGTTTGGGGAAGGAACACACACACACATACTGCCAGCATCCTCCCTCGGCAGCAGGGGGGAAAAAAAACCCCAAACCTAAGTGCCTGTCCCCTGCCCAGGGTGTTTCTGATTTTGCCTCGGTCTAAATAAATCAGCCTGTGTGATTTTATGCCATTCGATGCCCTCTTTGGTCCTCTTGTTTGGGACTGTGCAGGCGCCCACCCTCTGTGCGTGTGTGTGGGGGGGTGCCTGGGTGCCCATAAGAACTGCCTGGCTGGGCCGTGGTCTCCAGAAGGAGGGGGTGAAGGTGAGCAGCTGCCAATCCCCATGGGATTCCCATTGAGCCCCCCACAGAAATGCTGCCCCCTGCCAGACTGCTGGCTCTTGTGCCCCCTTGCAAGTGGCGAAGACATGGGGGAGGTTCCTCTGCCAGGGCCCCCAGCCCTACAGCTGGAGCCAGTGGGTCAGGGCGACCATGGGACCTTGTGGCCTCTATTCCAGCCTCATCTGGGCTGGCTCAGGATGATGGGGGAGGGTGGCGGTGGCCCAACAACATCTGGAAGAGAGCCACCTGTTTCCCCTCTGGCTGTCTCCGATCAGGCTGGCCAGGCTGGCTCTGTGGGTCTGGCCCTCCTCTTGGCCCCAGGGCAACCGTCCAGCTGCTAAGCAAGGACAGTCAAGGTTCGTTGGGGGGGGGGAAGAGTGTGGGGCTGGGAGGGAGGGTCTCCATGCATGATAAGGAAAGACAAAAGGCCACTGTGATGTGCAGAGAGGCCCTGCCCTCAGGCCACTGGCAGAGTTTGCACTTGGGCTTAGCCTCAGTTGGTGTTGTGTTGTCCTGGTGGTTGTTCATGTCTACACACATGGCAGGGGATGATGTGTGACTGTGTCAAGACACACACACACCCCTGCGCGCCCCCTGCCCAAGAGACTGACCACCCCTGTCATAGGCATGATGCTCTAGAGAGAGGAGGAAGGGTAGGCCTGCACAGCATACATGCAGCCAGGAAGCCATTGCCTGTGTGAGTCCGTTTACAAGTGGGCAACCCAGGAAGCCTCCTTGTCACCTCAGAGCAAACATCTGATCCAGAAAGCTGCTCAGGGGAGGGGGCCGAACGCCTGGGGGGGGGCTGCTCTCGCGACCAGGTCCCTCCAGGCTTAACGTGCGCTGCTGGCTCCTGCACGCTTCAGGCCCCTTTCCTCAGCTGAGAGACTGAGCCCCATTGGAAAGTTTTGCCCAAGTTAACAACTGAGGCCTCCTTGTCACCTCAGAGCAAACATCTGATCCAGAAAGCTGCTCAGGGGAGGGGGCCGAACGCCTGGGGGGGGGCTGCTCTCGCGACCAGGTCCCTCCAGGCTTAACGTGCGCTGCTGGCTCCTGCACGCTTCAGGCCCCTTTCCTCAGCTGAGAGACTGAGCCCCATTGGAAAGTTTTGCCCAAGTTAACAACTGAGGAGCAAATGCCAGCAATGGGGGGGGGGGGGAAAGGACCACCTGCTGAGGGCCAAGGGGGGCAAGCAGGAGGC